ACCACAGCTGGGAAGGAGGCCAGGAGTTCTGGGGGGGGGTCATCTCTCTCAGCATGGTCTCACCGTGCCTCACCGAGGCCTTCAGGCCGTGGGGCCCCCTAGAGTGTGGATGAAGCATCCACCAGGACGGTGTGACAGGGTCCACCATGTTTACCCTTGTGACCTTGGGCAAGTTCTGGGCCCTCCTAGCCCTTGGTTTGCCTCTGTAGGTCGGAGGCGATAGTCCCATGTGCTCATTGTCTTTTGTCCGCTGTGTATGTGTGTGCGTGGAGAGTCTTTGGGATAGATAGGGTGTCCCCAAAATGTATACACACGCGTTGAATAATTATAAAGGCAGTGTGTATTAAAATGCATTTCATTTTCAAAACTGAGCTGTCAGCTGTTAAAGCGTGTATACATTTTTGGGGGGACACCCTGTATAAATTGCTGTGCTGACATAGGGACTGGATATACTGTCCTGTCCTCCCTCAGGAACCACAAACGGACTGTTCAAAGAGTGGAGCCTCAGCTTGGGCCCCTCATGTACCCCTTGTTGACCGCAGGCTTTAGGAGGAACCATGAGCCCCAGATTTCATATCCCACATGGGCCCTGTTGTTCTACACTGCCACAGACTAATTCTTAGGCAAATCAGATTTCTGGATCCTCAGAAAGAGCTCAGAGAAATCAAATTCAACTGCTTGATTTCATGAGAGGGAAACTGAGGCTGGGGTAGGGAAGATTAGTCCAAAGCCATAGAAAAAACTAATGATGGGTCTAAGACTTGAACCTAGCTAGCCTTGAGAATGGCCCTGGACATGACCTTGGGCTAAAAATTGGAGCTGTGTTTGGATTCTGGACCCTGAACATTGATCAGGACCGGATCCTGGACATCGAAACTTGAACTTGGACATGGGTTTGTTCTGAATCTTGGGCTGGACCTAAAACCTTAGACATGGACCTTGGGCTCAGACCTCAGGCCTAGTCCTAGACCTAAGGTTGAATATGGACATTGGACCTGGACCTCGGATCTGGACTTGGACATCGGGCTGGATCTTGGACCTGGACCAAGACCGAGATGCCTGGGAAAGCCATGGTTAAAAACACCCAGATGGGTCTGCTCTGTGTCACTGGGCACCTCCCCAACCTTTTCTGGGCTCCCTCTGCCAAAACATTGGGGCAGTTCTTTTGTACCCCTGCTCCCCAGATGACCTTTCTGAGGAGTGGGGTGTACATGCTGGGGCCTTTCGGCCGGGCTCCCAGGCCTTGCCTGGAGCGACTCCCCGGCGCCATCAGAGGGAGTGAGAGGAAGTGGTCAGCTAGATAAGCCCATGGGCGAGGTAGGAGTGCTTCCCCGGCCTGCTAGCAGGGGAGGCTTAATGTAGCTGTGGAGGGCAGACAACTGTGTTATTGGATTGGCATTGATCCCTCTTCTGCCTGGGTCGGATGCACTCTGAAGGAGTGCGTGTGGGGTGGGGGGCAGGGGACGGGCAGGACCAGGACAGGGTGCAGAGGAAGGGGGACCTGGGGCCTCGCTGGAGTGCAGAGCTAAGGCCCAAGGAAGGTAGACATTCCTTTGGGGTCCACAGAGACCGTTGCTGTGCAGAAGGGGAGGCAGCAGTGTCTTCTGGGATGGCGAGACTCCCCAGCATCCCCCAGGAGAGGGGCCCGGGCCTGTGAAGGAGTGAGTGCGCTTGGTGGAGATGGAGGGACAGGTACTGAGAGGGTGAGGAGGTTGTGAGTTGGCATCACTCACAGAATGAATCTGCTCAGAATCCCCCAGGGGAGAGGCGGAAAACAGGGGAGAAGCAGGAGGAGCAGCAGAAAGAGGCATCTGTTGGAGAGGACGGTGAAATTAGAACTCATCTTCCTTCTTCGGGGAGCCCTGCAGAGGGACCTGGAGCTCTCCTCATTTGGAGGCTGCCTCTCCCTGTTTATGGGTTCTGTGGTTTGGGGGGAGCCTGGAGACCAGACACCTGCTGCACCCTCTGCAGGGCCCGAGGAAGCGGAAGAGGAAGGGAGCAAGAAGGCAAAAAAAATGAACATTGTGCTGTGTGTGTGTGTGTGTGTCTGCGTGTCTCCTCCAGGCATTCCTGGCGCTGGGGGGGGGTACACCTTTTTCATTTGGGGTCTTGCATCTTCATCCATTAGGAGCTGTGGTTCCCTTGACTCCCACATTCACAGCCCTCCTCCTAACTGCCCCCTCCCTCCTTCCCCCTCCCACCATCCTCCTCCTGACCCTGCAGCCCTTGCTGTAAGAATGGCTTGTAAGAGAATCTTTCTTATAACTGGAACTATCTCCAGCCCCAGGTCCTTCCCCTCCTCCCTCACTCCCTCCCTCCCTCCCTCCCTCCCTCCCTCTCCCCCCCCCCTTCCTTTCCCCTCCCTCCTTTCCTCCTTCATTCTCCTCACCTCCCCCCCTCCTCTCTTTCTCCTTGTTTACCCAGCACACTTACACACGCTGGGAGAGAAAAACGTCAGCTCAGCAATTTTTCACACTTCCCTCAAACGCTCAGCAAGGTTATTTCCGGCAGAGCTGAGACAACGGACCGCTAGGAGCTGGCAGGCTCTCCAAGGACCCCCAGCGCCCCTCCTGACTGTGGAGTGAGAGAACCCTCACTGCCTCATCTGGCCACACCCCAGGGATGGGAGAGGCCCCTAAAAACAGGATAAGGCAGACCCTGTGTTTCCTTGGCTGTACCAGCTTGAAGGGTCACCCCCTGGTCTCTGGCACCAACTGTCTATACAGATACTGCCAAGGCAGCCAGGCCAGGGTGCCTGTCTTCACCATGGGGCAGGCTGCAAAGACTGAAGCCAAGAAAAATGCCATGCCGGGCCTCAAAAACTCTGCCCCCCTCAGCCAGGCATCAGATGGTAAAGAGAGCCCTACAGAATCCCTGACAATGGCCCCCCTGCATTCTGCTAGACCCTCACCCAGGCATCTCCAGTGCCTCCCGCACTTGACCTTCATAGAAGCTGAGCTTGTCAAAGTTGGGAGGATACTTAGTTGATGCTACCTAAACTCTTCTGCTGCTGGGGAGATGGAGGACCAGAGCAGAAGGGAAGGCACTGGCCCAAGGTCACACAGCAAGTCAGAGAACTAGAGCTCAGGTCTCCCAGAGTCCCAGGCTAGGTATCAGGCCATTGGGGCGGTTTTGGGATTCCCTGCAGGTCAGGGAGCTGGTCTGGAGCCCTCTGGGGAAAGGGCCAAAGAGAGAGGTGGTTCCAGAACCTCCACAGGAACACCTCTGCTGATGGCTTTGTCCTGACGCTGCTCTCCACCGTTCACTCAGGGGCTCATTATAAGCTCTTCAGGACTGAATTCAAGGCAAGGCACTCCTGCCTCCCTCCTGAGGAACAACCTGCAGTTTGGGCTCTGTAAGAGAAATTCTCTGGGCTTCTTTGAGTTTCCTCACCTGGCCCGGAGACAGGACCAAGGGCGCCTCCCGCGGGAGCTCGGGGCTTTTGCCCGTCCCCGTGGGATCCACATTGCAGTCTTGCAGGCATTTCAGTTTCTACCCAGCTCCCAGCACACACACTCCCTGGCCCTGGCATGGCCCCAGGTCCACCCTCTGTCCTGCCAGCACTCAGCCAAGCCTAGCCACATCTCTGGCTTCTGTCCTGGACCCCAAGAGGCCCTGGGGTCAAGAAAAGAAGACGGTAGAATAAGGAGTATGTGGGCGACAAGAAAGGGGGTTGGTTCTCTCGGCAGTCTGGGTGAGGCCAGGGGCTGAGGGACTGCCGCTGTATTCCTGATCACTCCCTAATTTCTTTGACCTTGATGAGGTCACAGAGCCCTCTTGCTACCTGGCTTGGCGTAGTGATGGAATGTGGGTGAAGTGCTTGGAAATCCCCGAAGCAGGAGCTCCCACCTTCCTGGGCTCCTGCCTTTGCCGGACCAGCTTTCCCCTTATCCTCAGCCCTTTCTTCTCTCTCTCTCTCTCTCTCTCTCTCTCTCTCTCTCTCTCTCTCTCTCTCTCACACTCACACACACACACACACACACACACACACACCCCAAAGCTCATGCCACATGTGATGTCAGATTTCTGATTGCCTCTTCTTCAGACACCTGCCCTGGTGGGACCCATCGATGGAGCCCAGGTTTGGGATCCCCTTGATTGGGGATAGGGGCCACAGAAGCGGTCTCTGGCTCTTCCCCACACCCTTCGGAGATCACCCTCCTCTGGGCCTGAATGACCTCTCTTGTCCCCCAAACCCTTGTCCCCGCAGGAACTTGCTCTGAGAAGAGATGGACTGTGTTGGGGGTGGGGGACTTACAAGGAGCAGCAGGGCTGCCTCCGGAGGAGGGTGAGGAGCTGGGGTAGGGAGGGGGTGCTGCCTAGGGGCACACAGGAGCCACTTTGGGGGAACCCCTCCTAGAAATCCCCTCTTTTTTCCCCCCCCCGCAGTCCCCAGGACAGGCCCTGCCCGCTGGCAGGCATGTGGCTGAGGGTAACAAAAGAGTTGCTGAGAGAGGGAGGGGGCCTGAGAGCACTTGTCTTGCATCGCCAGGGGGAGCAGGTTTAAAGGGAAGGAGGTCGCCCCCAGCTCTCCCCAGGGAGCCAACCCCATCACCCTGGGGACTGGTAGTCCTGGTTGGCTCCCCCCACACTCAGGCAGCCCGTTTCCTTCACTCAGCCCGGGAGCGTGGAACCTCAGACTGCCTTGTGCATTAGCTCCCCAGCATTAGCCCTGCATGGGAGTGAGTCCCTTTCTTTCCTTTCTCTCACACCCCTCACTCTCGCCCCTTCTAGGGCCACAACTTTCAAAGTCCGGTCTGGTGCCTGTCTTGAGGATGGGCCGACCCTGCGACTTTCCCTTTGTACGCACCTAGCTCCTGCCCCACCCGCCCCGGTCCTTCCTTTGGAAGCCCCAAGGCGCACACCGCACACGGGAAGTCTCTTCCTGGGGCTCCCCTCCGCGCACAACCCCCTCCTTGTCGCCCGAGTTGGGGAGAGCCCGAACCCCCTCCTCTCCACCGTCCCCCCACCCGCACCCCGCCGGGTCCCCACTCACTCACCGTTGTCCCCGGGCGGCCCCCGGGCTCCCGGCAGCACGTAGGCGGTCTCCAAGGGGTGGTAGGTGGGGGCCGGCACCCCGCTGCACTGGAAGCCGTCCCCTTTGATCTTCTTCACCAGGAAGGAGCGCGGCATGGTGCGGCCGGCGGGGGCTCGGCGGGGGCACTCGCGCGGTGGCCGGTGGGGGAGGCGGCCGGCCGGGCGCGATTGGCTGCTGCGCAGGGTTTCAGCACTGGACAGCTCCCCGCGGGCGGCGGGCCGGCCCCGGCGGCGGCGGCCCCGGCTCGGCTCGGCTCGGCTCGGGCTCCCGCTCGGGCTTGGCGGCGGCGGCGCGGAGACAGGCGACTGGCTGCTGGAGCTGTGCTCAGCACTCCGGCTGCCGGCTTTATATGGGACGCAAGCTGGAGGAGATCAGGTGGTCCCCTAGCAATGGAACTGTTCAGCGCTCTAATCCATCAAATGTCCCCCAGGACAATCGCTCCGCACACGTTCCCCTGAACCGGCGGCGGTGGTGGGGGCAGGCCAGGCGCAGGGAGCAGTGGGCAGGCAGGAGGGGAGTGAGAGGAGAGAGAGACGGAGAAAGAAGTAGGTATGGAGTGGGGAGAAGAGAGAGGAGGATCACGGAAAAAGGCAGAAAGAGACATGCAGAGGATGAGAGACACACACACACCGAAAGAGGTGGAAATAGAAGCAGAGAGACTGAGATTAGAACAAAAAGACGCAAGAAAAGCGGAGGAACGACGGAGGGAAGTAGCAGCACACACTCACACGCCCGTGGAAGGCAAAGGGAGACCCAGACACACAAAAAGAAAGCCCCCCAGCCATGCAAAGAAAGGAAAAGAAAAGTGCAAGACAGAGGGAGAAGCTGAGGGGAGAGCAGGGAGAGCAGTTCCGAGCAGGCGGAGTTCACACACATGGGGACCCAGGGAAGGGGTGCAAAGAAAAGAGTGTGAGCTCTCCGGGGGGACCCTCCTGCCTCCAGTCCTCTCCTTCGCCCCCAGCTCTGAAGTGGCCAATGCGAACACTCAGCTTTAACTAAAGGAAGTCGTCCCCCTACCCCAGCTCAGCTTCCCATGGAAGCCCCCTATTGGGTTTGGGGGTTCAACTTTCTTCTCCCAGACTGCTGGGGGGTGGGGGGGCAAGTCCTCCATGCGACGCCTGCCCTGCTCAGCCGGTCCTGTTCCGGTGCCTAGCTCAGGCGGGCGCTGCAAGAGGAAGTGAAAACCGTCCAGTAATTAATTTCCCTGCTGCCGGGGGTGGGGGTGATGATGGTGGTGGTTTTGACACATCCGAGGCAGTGTCTTTCCCTGAAGCCGGGAACAGACAATAGAGACACGTGGACTGGGAAGGGAGAGGGGGGGAAGGGAGGGGGAGCGGGGCTCCCGCTGGAACTCTTTGCAGGTCAGCTCCTTTGTCTCTGGGAGGATCTGAACAGATACCCCCTCACCCCTTCACCCCCCCCCCTTCCAACCCCCCACCCCCCGTCTATCCAGCCAAAACCTGGGGGAGCTCCCATATCTTGACAGGACCGAGGGGTCTGAGAACTCAGCCCCCAGCCCAGAAGCTGCTTGGCAAAGTGCCATCGTGAGGAGCTGGCCACAACCGTATGGGATGGCCCGTGCACAAGAGCCCCCAAACCAAACTCTAGGAATGCCACGATCTCGTTAGTCAACAGTATTCTGTTTGTGCGATGCAAGGCTGTGGGAGCAGGGACTGGGTCATCCAGTGCCAGTTGGGACACTCAGACCCCGCGAGGGCCTGGAGATGCCCTAGGCCCCACAGTGAGTCAGCAGAAATTTCGGGGGCCCCCAGTGGTCTTTGGGCATTGCTGAGTTAGGGCCGGACACAGTCTTTGGGGTGTGGCTTCGAAACCTCAGAATAAAACTTTCGCCCCTGATCTTGCCAAGGCCTCTTGTGATCTGGGGCACCCTGCCCATCTTCCCAGCCATCTTGCCTCCTATTTTGTCCTCTGGGACTTTTTCAACTTCAGTCAGTGCGGGTTGAGGTGGCCACACCCTCTGACTCAGGGCACACCCCATATTCCCTACTCTGGCCATGCAGGCCTCCTTCTAGACCCTCCTGTGTGCTCCTCTCTCCTTTGTCTCTTGGCCTCCATTCTGTCAGATTGTCCTTCCCTCCACTTCACCCTAGCACACCCCTGCTTGTCCTCAGGACTTAGCGGAGGCATCACTTCCTCCAGGAAAGACTTTGACTTCCCACACTGTGGGCCAGGCCAGCTTACCCGTTAGCCCCTGGGCCTCTTGAGGACAGGGACTCGGCCCCATGTTTGGCTCATCACACTGTTTAGCCTCTGCATACTGGCCATGGGACCTTGGGAAAATTATTCAACTGATCCGTGCCTCAGCTTCCCCATTTATAAAATGTTAGTAATGATTGTTGCTATCTCAGGGGTTGTTGGGAGCATTACAAAAAGCTGGTTAGCATGGTGCCTGGCATATAGTAGGTGGCCAATACATGTAGGTTCTATGTATACAGTTGTGCCTGGAGCACTCAGGATCCGTTTACCACATGTTTTGTGGGGTTCTGTGGGATAAGTGGTGACCTAGCCAGTCCTTGTCCCTGCTGTCTTGGAGGTGACATTCAAGGGTCAGTGGATGAACACTGAACAAGGAAACACTGAAGTCCACAATATCCTTTCAAATAATTGTTTAGTGCTGTGAGGAACATAAAGTGGGGTAGGCAATGGAAAGTGATGGTACCTTTGGACAGGGTGATCAGGGCCTCCTGGAAGAGGTGACATCTGAGCCCAGACTTGAGCGATGAGATGGAGCCAGAGGCTCCATGAATTCCAAGGCTCTGAGGCAGGAATGAGCTTGGGCCATGGAGGAAGTTGTTGCTAGTTATTCATAGTTTGGAGTTTGGGTTCTGGGGTCTCTGTCCTCTAGGGGTGCCTTGTCCAGTGAGGTAGATAAGGGATGTGGGTGCCCCTGAGCTCACCTGCCTGATGGTCCTGTCATTCTAAGCTCCTACAGAGAGATGGTAAAACAGAGCCCAGAGAGTTTCACAAGACACGGTGGGTCCATGGTGACTTAGGGACAGAGCTGGGACAGGACTCTCCCTCATCGGGACTTGTGGACGATGGTGTGGGCATCTTTAGTAGATAAGAAGTCTTCAGCCCAGAGGTGAGGTTCAAAAATACCTATGCTTAATCATTGGTGAAGTCCACAATGGCCAGCAGGGTTTCATCACGTGGACATTGAGAAGGGTGTTCCGTCCCCAAGGCTTCTCCAGCACCACTTTACTGGTTTCAGGAAGTCCACTGTTATGCCTGGCCGGCGAGGCTCAATGGATGAATGTCAACCTATGAAGGAAGAGGTCACAGTTCGATTTCCTTTCAGGGCACATGCCCGGGATGTGGGCTCGATACCCAGTGTGGAGCGTGCAGGAGGCAGCCGATCAATGATTCTCTCACATCACTGATGTTTCTCTCTCCCCCTCTTCCTTCCTCTTTGACATCAATAAAAATGCTTTAAAAAGAAAAGAAAGCCCACTGTTAGGAACGTATTTCTCTCAGTCACATCAGATAAAGTCCCCAAGTGAAAGAAAATGGGTGATTGTTGTGAAGAAGACCGCTAGATAGAATATTCTCCAGCCATTAAAAGTTATAGTATGGGGGAAAGCTCGTGTTAAGTGGAGGTTGCAGAATCTAGAAATCTCTCCCGGCATCTTTGTAACTATGAACCAAAGTGAAAATAAACACCCACAGAAAAATGAAAGGAGGGTGGCAGGGCTATAGATATTTTTTTAAAAATTTATTTACTCTTTCTTTTTGTGCTTTCCCAAAAGACCATAAAATGTTTCGATTCACCAAGCATTTATCTTGAGCACTTGCTATCTTCTCCCTTACTTCTTAAGAGAAGAAATTATTAAGTTCCATAAACCATGTCAGGGTGTTCCTTCTCCTGACTTTGGGGAAGATGGCACCCCTGGTGGCACGTTTCCCCAAGGACAACAATAGTTACTATTCTATCAACAGCAACATTGCTGAGCAGCTGCACGCGCATGGTACTGTGCTGAACACTTACCCTTCACAGAAGCGGCTTTGCCAGGGGCTTGAGATAGAGGGGCTTGGAGTCAGCCTGTATTCAGTCAAATCCATACTCTACCACTTCCCCATGATTCTCTGTGTGTGCATTTCCTGATCTGGAAAAAAAAAATTTTTTTTTTATAAGGCCTGCCTCACACCATTGTGGTGATGGTTAAATGATAATGTACCTAGGAAATGCTTAGAGCAGTGTTTTTCAACCTTTTTTGGGCAAAGGCACACTTGTTTCATGAAAAAAATCACGAGGCACACCACCATTAGAAAATGTTAAAAAATTTAACTCTGTGCCTATATTGACTATATATAAAGTAATTCTCTTGAATAGGAATCAAATAAACACAAAGAAAGTATTTTATAATTACTTTATTATGAAATATTAAGTAAACAAAATAGTGAAAAATTATAAAATTCTTGTCTTGTCTGCACCTACGGCACACCAGGCAACATCAGTGTGCCGCGGAACAGCGGTTGAAAAACGCTGGCTTAGAGCAGTGCCTAAGTCGACCTGATAACTGTTGACTATTTTTATTTCCATATCTTCTCTCATCTAAGCCCCACCACGGCCTCTTGGGAGAAGGCTCTATTATTGGCCCGTTCAGTAGTGTGGGGTGAAATGACTGTCTCAAGGCCTCACAGTCACTGGAGGAGTTGAGGAGCTCCTGTCTTCCCAGGAGCCCAGGGCTTGGCATAATGGAGCTAGCTGGTGGGGGCTGTAGGCTCGGCCCTCCTCACGCTACCTGGTTTGCTCCCATGTCTTCCAGATTTCAACCTTACCCTGCCTATCAAGAAGGAGGGTAGTCAGTAGTGTCTGGGTGTGACTCTCCGTGCTGTGTGGCCCCAGGTGGCTGGCAGAGCTGCCCTGAGCCTCAGCCTGTCCGTCAAAAGGGCATGCAGCATCGTCTCTGCAGGCTCCACTCCGTGGTGTTAGGAAGGAGCACTGCCCTGGGAGCCAGGAGCCAGAGTCCAGCCCTGGCTCTCCTCCCTCTGCTTCTCTTCCGGCTCCAGCTTTCTCATCTGTCAAATGGGCATGGGACAAGATGGTCCCTGAGCTGCTGTCCAGAACTGATAATGGAATTCTGTATGGATTCCAACGAGCAGAGTGGCTACAAATGCATCCGCTCCACGCTGATGGGGCTCTTTCTCTGGTGAGCGTCGCTTCCCCTGCCCTGCGCCTCCAGTGTTGTTTACCCAGGCCCTCCTCCTCGGAGCCAAAGGAGAGGGGGGAGGGAAAATAGGAAACGAGCTATTTCACAGCTGTGCACACCGAGACTCGCAGAGACTTGCCCGTGGGATGCGGTGGGTCCTCTGGAATGTGTTAAGTGCTGCGGTCTCTCTTGGGTCACTGGTCTTCCGGGAGGCAGATGTGCCAGCGGAAGTGGAAGTGCAAAAGATGCATTGGAGATAGCACTGCGGTGGAGAGGGTGCACAGGTCGCCAGGCCAGGCACAGGTCTGGCACCTGCGAGAGGAGAGGTGGGAGAAAGGAAGATTAGGTAAGAGGAGCCTCAGACAGCCG